ACCTCTCACATGCATAAGCAACTTGGACCCTTGGGTTTGAGGGTGGAGGAAATCTGTATAAGAGATAAAAGACATTCACAAGGGTCTGTAGGTTTCTTCCTTTATCATTTCTATAGGTTTCTGTCTATGAAAGCAACCCTTTTTGAGCCTCTATCTCTGAGTCATCTACTTCACCCACCTGGGTGGACAAAGGACACAGTGTACAAAATGGAGAAATGTTCTCTCTCCCCATCCAGTCGTGGGGCAGGTGCTGGAGATGATGGATCTCCTTGAGGGCATCACTTGTACTGAGGCAGACAGACTTCACTCAGGCACACAGATTCAGTGGCTCAAAGATACTCAGGGCTGCCTGGCAGGGGTAATGGGGAGACAACAATGGGAGATGCAGCTGAAAGCCAAGGAAGAAAGACAGCCCTTAAGTCAGACATATGGGTCATTATAGAAAAGGTAGGAATAGTATACACTATGGCTCTTCAATTCCAGAGCCCCCTGAAGTTTCATAATAACCAAACTATAAAGTTCAAACTTCAGAAAACCATCTGCTCTTACTCTCTAGGTGATGGGCGCTACTCCCTGTTGGGCCAGCCATTACAGTACAATCTGTCCATCTGCCCTCCCTTGCTTCACAGCCAGTCAACTTACACGGTACACCAGGTAAGGGTGTCCACCGCCTTAGGGCCATCAGAACTGCCCCCTTTTCTCATCTGGGTGCCTATCTGTAAGCTATCTGCTCCAACCAGCTGTGTGGACAAACAAAAAATGGACTCTGTTTCTCATTGGCCAATCCACCTTGTAGAGTGGACTCTCATGGTTAGGTGCTACTCAGTCTCTCAAGCAGACACTGAAAAACAAGGTGGTCATTGTTATTTACTTGGAGTGAGAGTTATCTTTCAAATGTTGAAGGGACAGAGTGGATTGAAGCATGGAAACCGCAGCAAGAGACAAGCACTCAAATCTGCCTCCACTGACCTGGGCACAGCAGATGTTGGTGAGTGGCAAAAGGCCAAATCCCTAAGAAAGTGCCCAGCTCTCTAGCCCTTTGTTCCCAGTCCAGGATGAATAGGAAATCCATCTGAGGGTGGGAATAGAAATCGAGCCTTTTGTGCTCAAGAGCAAACAGAAGCTACACTAGTGAGTATCTCAGTCCCCTTACCAAGCCATTCAGGGTCCTGAGGCAGATCACAGTAAAAATTGGGAATAGCACAGTCATGGGAATTGCTGAGCCTCTTATTAGCCAACTGTCTCCTGGGAGCAGTCCTGATCTTAATGCTGGACATCTACCTTTGGGTAGTGCTAGACTTGATTTTGGAGGAAACTGATAGAGAATTATGGAAGAAGTAACTTTCCCCCTGCAGGCCCTTCCATGCTATGAATACAAGGTCTCTCAGAATCCTGTTTGCAGCAGTTAGCCGGACTGAAAGAAAAGGAAGGGAAACTTACTTTCCAAAATGTTAAGGAGGAAGAATCTATTTGGGGCAGCCTCTGGGTGGAAAAGGAACATGTTTCAGATTGATCTACTAAAGACCACTAGCAAAAATATTTCCTTCATAAGAATAACACCTTGCTGGGGGTGGAGCATCATTTCTCTGTTTACTTTTTATTTAAAACCCACTCTTTATTTAAACCCACTCTTATTAAAACCCACTCTTTATTTAAAACTGTAATCCCAGCAGCTCAGGATGCTGAGGCAGGAGAATTGCAAGTTCAAAGCCAGCCTCCGCACCTAGTGAGGCCCTAAGCATCTTAGTGAGACCCTGTCCCTAAATAAAATATAAAAAAGGGCTGGGAATGTGTCTCATTGGATAAGCACCCCTGGGTTCAGTCCCTAATACCCCCCCCCAAAAAAAGTGACACCTGATGATAGAACACAGGTATTTGTCCTGAGATCATAAGCCTGGGGTTCTGATTCCCAGACCCTTTTACAAGCTATGTCTTTGGGTTAGGTAAAGAGAGTTTTGCTTTTTTTCCCCTGTTAAGTTTCCCTGATCAAAGTCTTAGGGAAGGGGTATTGGATTGATTTGGGAAGGGGAGGAAAGGGCTAAGTGGCAAAGCTTTTAAGGACATTGTATACAGATGTAGCTGGATATTTCTTTGCCCAGCTGCTGTCCAATCCTTCTTACTCTATCTCTCACAAAATATCTTCTCTCCTCCCCTTCCAGTCCTTGGGCGCGTGCTGGAGGTGACAGATCTCCCTGAAGGCATCACTCGTACTGAGGCAGACAAACTCTTCACTCAACTCGCCATGTCCGGCGCCAAGATCCAATGGCTCAAGGATGCTCAGGGGCTGCCTGGTGGGGGTGGAGGGGACAATAGTGGGACTGCCGAGAATGGCCGCCACTCAGACCTCGCTGCCTTTTACACCATTGTGGCTGTGTTTCCCAGCCCCCTGGCTGCCCAGAATGCCTCCCTTCGCCTGAACAACTCTGTGAGTCGCTTCAAACTTCGAGTGGCCAAAAAGAACTATGACCTGAGGATCCTGGAGCGAGCCAGCTCCCAATAAATGGAGAAGGGGAAGGAACTGTCACTGTAGGGCCTGGGGACAGAGTGGAGAGGACCCAGATGGAACAGAGGCAGAAAGTAAGGAGACAGATGCCAAACTGGGGCCTAAGACATTAGGGATCAAGAGGGAAACAGACTCACACTGGCACTGGACTCCTTGCCAATTCCCTGCCATGGGTCTCCTCTTTTTCCTTGATTGGACCCCCTTTGCTTCCCTCTCCTTCCCATCCTCTTCTATCATTTTTTTTAATCTCTTCTTCCACCACAGAATTAATTTCTTATTTTTTTTTGTCAGGTAGAATTGGGAGCATCCCACACTCCCCTCTTTATTCCCTTTCCATCCTATTTTCCCTTTCCTTTTTTGGTCTTTATGAGTATATTTATATGGACAGAATTAAGAAAAACAAAATTGATTTCCCCATTCTCTTACTTCCCCCATCTTGTCTCCCCAAACCCCCCAGAGTTAAAACTTGGGGACTCCCCTTACCCCCAGAACACTTGTATATTGTTTGTTTGAGGTTTGTGCCACAGTAACAGACACAGTATTTAATTGCACATACAGATGTTTGCTGGGTATATTCACTGTAAATTTTATTTAATCTGGTTTTTGTTTGTTTGGGGGGTTACTTGGGGGGAGGTTGATTTTGTTTTTAAATATATAAAAAAAAAAACTATCACTGGACATCAGTCACTGTTTCTCTGTTGCCACCCTGGTGTGTATGGGAGGGTGAGGTGTGGGTTGGAGACCCTGGGTAGGTACAACCCCTATAGCTTGTGGGCAGCTGGGGAGGGTAGGTTGTTGGGTTGGGATGGCTTTACCCAGCAAGTGCACATACCTCTCCCTAACACTATTCCTCCCTCTCCCCTGGACTCAATTCTGATAGAAGGCTAAGTTTTGTCAGTACTTTGGTTTTGGGCTCTTGCACCTCTGCTACAAACTGGTTCATCAAACATGTCACTTCTCTACTCTGAACCTCTGTGTCCCAAGAGTTTGCTTCCATCCTGTTAATTCTCAGTTAGAGCCTTTGCAACTGATCTGGGGAGGGATGAGTGAAGTCCAGAACTGTGTTGAGATGCTATCCTCATTCCTATCTATCTAATCTTCTGAAAACCTTCAGGGATGGAGAACCTGGGCCTTTAGACCGAAAGCCCAGAAGATTGGGTTCTACTTGGCAGAAACAGAACTAGAGGTTTCTTATAATAAAAACTGTATCAACTGAACTTGTAGTGCCCATATGTGTTTAGCAGTCTCTGTCCTGTGTAGCTGAAGAAAAATGAAGAGCAGAAGTAACCTGCCTGCAAGATAGAACTTTCTACCTACGGACCCTCTGGGCTATACTGTTCTGCAACCCGTCAGAGGAGAACCATTAAAGAGGCTGTAGACTGCTGGGTATGGTGGTGCATGCTGTAATCCTAGCAGTTTGGGAGGCTGAGGCAGTAGGATTGCAAGTTAAAGGCCAGCCTCTATAATTTAGTGAGGACCTAAGCAACTTAGAGAGACCCTGTCTCAAAGAATAAAAAAGGGCTGGGGATGTGGTTCAGTGCTTAAGTGCCCCTGAGTTCACTCCCCTGAATCCCATTCCCCGCCCAAAAAAAAATGTAGACTCATCCATTCAGAATTCCCTTTTCAATTTCATCTACCTCTTAAAGAGAGCAAAGATCAGTGAGTAAAAATGACATTGCCTTGGAAATCTAGGCCTGGGTAGCTCTATCTCTAGTCAAGCTCCTCCTAGAGATTGTCTAACCCAACCTCCAGTGTTGTCTTTTGTCTCACAAATACAGGGGATAGTGCATGCGAGGCAAGCACTCTACCAACTGAGCTATATCCCCAACCCTCCATTACCCTGAAGATAGTGTCTTTCAGCCATGTCACAGTCCAATTAGCTGTGTCTTTGTGAGATAAAAATGCCATATATTAGGACATCAGAGGTAAGAGGTAGAATCAGGGAATAAAAAAAGAGCTATAATTCTGCCGGTGCAGTGGTGCTTCCCAGCAACTCAGAAGTCTGAGACGGGAGGATCAAAAGTTTGAGCCCAGGGCTGGGGCTGTAGCTGAGTGGCAGAGTACTTGCCTAGCATGTGTGAGGCACTGGGTTTGAACCTCAGACCACATAAAAAAAGTAAACAACAGTCTGGGGTTGTGGCTCAGTGGTAGACCACTCACCTAGCATGTGCCAGGCCCTGGGTTTAATCCTCAGCACATAAATAAGTAGAATAAAGCTATCATATCCAATTACAACTAAAAAATAAATATTTAAAAATAAATAAAATATGGGGCTGAGGCTGTAGCTCAGTGATAAAGCACCCACCTTGCACATGTGAGGCACTGAGTTCAATCTTCAGCACCACATAAAAATAAATAAAGATACTGTGTCCATCTACAACTAAAAAACTATTTAAAAAATAATACGGGGAGGAGCTGGGGTTGTGGCTCAGCGTAGAGCACTTGCCTCGTACGTGTGAGGCACTGGGTTTGATCCTCAGCACCACATAAAAATAAACAAACAAAGGTACTGTGTCCATCTACAACTAAAAAAAAATAAAAGCTTAAGCCATCGTAGGCAATCTACTGAGACCCTATCTCAAAAAATAATAAGGGCTAAGGGGTATAATTCAGGTACAGTGAGTGTCCCTGGATTCAATCCCTGGCACTACACACACAAAAAGGGGGGGGGGAATATTACTTACAAATGATTAAACACTCCCTATAGAAGGTAGTCATAAATTTGTCAAGGGTTGCCTCTACCTGGGGTTTATACTCTTACTCCCCAGATACCCTCAGATAAAAGTCCCAGGCCCCCCCCCTTTTTTTAGGTGTTTTATTGTTTGGTTTTTGGGGTTTTTTTGTTTGTTTGTTTTTGTTTTTGTTTTGCTTTGGTACTGTGGATGATTTAACCCCGTATTTAACCACCGGGCTATAACCACAGCCCTTTTTCAAATTTTGAGGCAGTCTCATTAAGTAAGTTGCTTAGGGCCTTGTTAAGTTGCTGAGAGGCTGGCGTTGAACTTGGAATCCTACTGCCTCAGCCTTCTGAGTTGTGTGTATGTTCCTGTGAGCCACTATACTGGCTCCAGCTCTTTTTCAGTAACTCTTATAGTTCCTTCACCCTGAGGACAAGATTTTAGAGGAATAGGGAGAAAGAAGTCTCTGGGAGCAGTGGAAAAGAACAAAGAGTACTACATATTCCTCATTCCCTTACAGGACAGTACATGCCCCTGACCACCACAGATGAGAAATCAGTCTAATGTGGCTGATAAGAGAGCTCTGAGAATCCAAATTATCCTTTCCTCACCAGTTCCCAGGCCTTTCCTAGACTAAGGGCTTGAAGTGAGATCAATGTTTGAGGGTATATAAACACGTGGCCATGGGAAGACAATGGCTGAGAGTATATGTCTACTTAGGTAGCCTAGGGAAGGTAGAATTGGGAACCTGTTGGGACCTTTGGAAAATTGTTTTTTAATTCATCTTGACTTCACCTTCAGACATCTAAAATCCCCTCAAACAAGGCTGGACATGGTGATTCATGCCTATAATTTGGGAGGCTGAGACAGAAGGACTGCAAATTTGAGGTTAGATTGGACAACTTAGTGAGACCCTATCTCAAAAGAAAAAAAAAAAGATTGGGGATGTAGCTTAGATGATAAAGTGCCACTGGTTTCAATCTTCAGTACCCACCCACGCCACCAAATACAATCTCTTCAAGTATGTGGCATGAAGAGAAACTGCCCCTTCCTGACTAGCGGGTACTGACCTACTCACCATAAGAATCAGGGAAGGACAACCCTGGGGGATGGGAGGAGTTAGGGTCCAGCCCTGCCCCAGACCTCCTCTCGTGTCCAATTTCTCTGTGTCAGCTGTGCTGTTCAGCTGTCCATTTTCCTTCAGCCCTGTCATCTCACACTGACACCAAGACAAGAGGCTAGCGGCCTACAAAATACCGTCTGGGTGGCTGGTGTGAGTACGGAGGGTATTGGGGGGGCTTAGCCCCCAAGGAAGAGGACCAGTCCTTCCCCAGCACCACCTCAGGCCTCAGGGTCTCCCTCTTCCCTCCAGAGACCTTGGACTGGTTTAGGGAATCCCAAACGTAAGTTTCCCCTTCATCCTCTTTCTATTTCCAGGACTGCTCTCCCCAATCCATAGTCTATTCAGCTTCTTCATTTCTCTCCTTATCTGTGAGTAGTTGGGTTTTAGAAGTGAAATTATTACTCCAGGATTAGCTAGGATTGAAGGTGGGGGTGGAGTGGGGTCCAGGGAATAAAGTAAGGGAAGGAAAGGCTCATATTACTCTGAAAACCTAAAATAGCTGAGGCCTAAGGCAAGCTGGGACAGAACTAGGCATGGGCCCCAGGGTTCAGGAAAGAGGGGAAGGAAATGTCTCAGTCCATCCTTCCATGTGTGCACTCTAGAATGCAATGTTAAACTTCTTGAAGAGGGGATGTGGAACAGTGTGTCACATTTCTATTCCCCATGAATAAAAAATGTGTGAAACCAGACAGCCTTAAGTATTATGTTGGGGCTGTAAACTCTGGGGCTACCCCTTGGGGCAGAAGGATGGGTATTAGTGTGAGAAACTTTAGCCTGTTGGTCTTTTTTCTAGATCTTCATGAAATATATCTGTTCATAAGCTCTACTGAAAGATCTCTGTCTACCCAAATTTCTCCCAAAGCTTCCCCTTCAAGGACCACCCTACTTTAAGGGATAGAAATAAGGGAGGGAAGAATGGCAGTCAAGATTTAGATTTAATAGTGGGGTCCAACCTCTTGCAGGATGACAGAAAAGGAGGTGCTGGAGTCCCCTAAGCCCTCCTTCCCAACAGAGACTCCGCAAAGTGGGGTGAGTCTGGGCCTCTTACCACTGGGTGTGGACAGCTGGGAAGCCATTACAGCTTCTACAAGAAAGTGCTTAAAATGACCCCACTTGTGTATGACTCATTTATTGTTAGAATGCTATTCAGCACCTGTATCCCAAACCCCTAACCCTGGGGCAGATTGTTTGACCCAAGTTAGGAAAATGTCCAGTTGGCTTTGACTCCAGCTACCCTAGGAAGAGTAAAAGTCCTTTTAACACTGGATTTCCTTCACTTCTTCCCTCAGCTACAGCGGCTGAAGCAGTTATTCAGGAAGGGGTCTCCAGGGACAAAGGAGATGGAGCTTCCCCCAGAGCCCCAGGTCAATGGGGAGGCAGTAGGAGCTGGGGGTGGGCCCATCTACTACATCTATGAGGAAGAGGAGGAGGAAGAAGAAGAGGAGGAGCCACCCCCAGAACCTCCTAAGCTTATCAATGACAAGCCCCACAAATTCAAAGATCACTTCTTCAAGAAGCCAAAGTTCTGTGATGTCTGTGCCCGGATGATTGTGCGTGAGTTATAAAGGGCAGTAGAGAGAATGTGATATTGAAGGCAGGGGGTGGTGCAGGTTGTAGGAGAGAAATATTTGCAATGGATAGATGGGCTGTGTCAAGATTCAGCTTATGAAAATATGATTAGAGATTGAGGGTCCCAGAAGAGGGAAACACAGAGTAACTGTGGGGTACAAAGGGAAAGGACAAGCTGGATCCTTACCCAATGTTCTCCCCCTCCCAAGTCAATAACAAATTTGGGCTCCGCTGTAAGAACTGCAAAACCAACATCCATGAACATTGTCAATCCTATGTGGAGATGCAGAGATGCTTCGGCAAGATCGTGAGTAGGGTCTGGGGAATGAGAGAGTAAGAGGGAGGGCACGTGTTTCCAGTTACCCCCTTGTTGGTCCCTCAAGTCATCCCATACATCTTCCTGCTTTCTTGGCTCATCTCTCTTACTCTGATAAGGGGTAAGCATTCATGGGAGAAGTGGGGTGCTGGGCCCTACCTTGCTATCTCTAATGCTCCCCCCCATCCCATCCTACAGCCACCTGGTTTCCGTCGGGCCTATAGCTCCCCACTCTACAGCAACCAGCAGTATGCTTGTGTCAAAGATCTCTGTAAGTGCCTCATAATCAACCTGAGGGAGTGGGCAAGACCCAGAGATGGTTTCACACCACTTTTAGCTTTAGAAGCCAGATTCTGAAACAGAAATATTCTATTTCCCATAGTTTTCACTTAATATTTTTGGAGTCATTTTGGATGCAGTCAACATTCCCTTTTTAGCTGGGCATGGTGGTGGTACATACCTATAATTCCAGCTATTTGGGAAGTTGAAGCAAAGGCCAGCATGAGCAATTCAATGAGACCCTATTTAAAAAAAAAAAAAAAAAAGTAGGATGATGCTCAGTTGTTGCTGGATTCAATCCTCTGCTTTCCAAAAGAAAAAAAAACAAAACTGTAAACTAAGAGGAGTGAGATTTAGCTAGAACTACATGGAGCTAGCAGAGGAGGAGTCAAGACTGAGAACTTAATCTTCGCTTCAAAATCTGTGTTCTTCACATGCAAAACCATTTCTTTTTTATAATATTTATTTTATGGTTGTAGTTAGACATAATACCTTTATTTTTATTTATTTTTATATGGTGCTGAGGATGGAACCCAGGGCCTCACACATGCTAAAGTTTCATCTCACTCCAATCACGCTGTATCGCTGAGCCACAACCCCAGGCCTGCAAAACCATTTCTAAGCAAGAACAAGGTTTCTAGGTTGTCCTTATCCTTGTTATAGTATCATGCCAGACTTAGGACCAGACTCAAAAGTTGTGGACAACCTGGAAAGTTCCTAACTTGATAATCCTTAAAAAATTATTCATTGTGGGGCTGGGGATACAGCTCAGTTGGTAAAGTGCTTGCCTCCTGTGCACAAGGCCCTGGGTTCAATCCCCAGCACCACCACCAAAAAAAAGAAAATTCATTGATAATTTGTTCAATGTCACCAAACAGTGTGAGAAGCATGGATGAAAAAGAAGAGCCCATTGGTTGTAACACCCAGTTTGTACATGCTTCTCAGCAAAGCAGAAGGCAGCAGTTAAGAGAGCATTCACTTTAGGAGAATAATGATTCCAAGTATGCCCTAACTCCCAAAAAGTGTACAAGGTTGGCCGGGCACAGTGGTGCATGCCTGTAATCCCAGTGGCTTGGGAGACAAAGGCAGGAGGATCTTGAGTTCAAAGCCAGGCTCAGCAAAAAGCAAGGTACTAAGCAACTCAGTGAGACCCTGTCCCTAAATAAAATACAAAATAGGGCTGGTGATGTAGCTTAGTGGCTGAGTGCCCCTGAGTTCAATCCCTGATACCCCACCTCCCAAAAAATGTAGAAGGTTGTCTTTCCAATATCATATAAAGTTTTATCTGGAAGTAATTCTGATCAATATTTTTTCCCTATTATATTACTTTTCCAGTTTTTTTTTTTTTTTTTTTGGTATAGAGATTGAGCCCCCAGGGTACTTTACTACTGAGCCACATTCCTAGCCTTTTCCATTTTTTATTTTGAGTCTGGGTCTGGATAAATTGCTTAGGGTCTTGCTAGGTTGCTGAGGCTTGCCTCAAACCTGCAATCTTCCTGCTTCAGCCTCCTGAGTCATTGGGTGTGTGCCACCATGCCTGGCTCCAGTGATGTGTTTTAGGACCATTTACCCTTTATAGATTAGTGTTATGCAGCTAATCCTTCTCTAACTCTTCCCTCCCCTTTCTCCTTCTCTTTTTTTCTCTCTCACATACACACATACACATTCACCATGGATACCAAGTTACCCAATCTCCCACTTCTCTCTTCTTTAGGAGGTCTCTTTTCTCCAAGCCTTTCTCTGCCTCCCCTATAATGTCTTCCTTCTCTTCCATTTCACTAGCTGCTGCCAATCGCAATGATCCTGTGTTTGAAACTCTGCGCACTGGGGTAATCATGGCAAACAAGGAACGGAAGAAGGGCCAGGCAGATAAAAAAAATGTGAGCCTCATACATCCCTACTGGGTCCCTACCAGGAATTCCATGGGGCAGGTTATTTTCCCCTTTGGAAAGCTGACAGGAACTATAAATCCTTTTCCCCAAAAATGGCACAATTCCTAACAGACACATCTTTGCATGCAAATATAGAGGACTTTATGGACATGTTATGGCTCACCATGGGCCTTGGTTAAGAACTACTGTCGGGCTGGGGATGTGGCTCAGGCAGTAGCGCACTTGCCTGGCATGCATGCGGCCCCAGGTTCGATTCTCAGCACCACATACAAACAAAGATGTTGTGTCCGCTGATAACTAAAAAAAAAAAAAAAAAAAAAAAAATGTTAAAATTCTCTCTCTCTCCCTCTCTCTTAAAAAAAATTTAAAAAAAAGAACTACTGTCATATAGTGTGTTTCTCAACTCCTTTTTGAAATTGTCAGATTAATTACCACAGAAGGCTAGGCCCCATGTCCTTGGCATTGCTGGATAACAGAGGCATGAGTTGTGCTTTTGGATTTGGGGAAAAGAATTTGTCATTTCCAAGTAATCAGAAAATTCTAGAGCCATGCAAAGAAGGTCTGTGAAGATCATTCAGTTTGACCCATTCATCTTACAGATGATGAAACTGAAGCACAAAGCTATTGGCCAAGAACAGCCTCATTTCCATTTATAATAGAGTTGCTAGATTGGTAATATAGACTTGTTTTCAGTTCTGCAAGGAATTTATATCTTTCTAAACAACCACTATGGACTAATATAGATGATAGTTACAGTTGGATCAATTCCTCAAATTGATTGAATGGCAGTATACCAAAGAGTCTAGGTCCTTTAGGAGTTTCCAACTAAAGGGAGATTTCTGAGGCCTTACAACATGATTTGGTCCATGGTCCTCATTGATGACCTTTTTTTCTCATTGATAAAAATGAAGTTGTGGGCTGGGGATGTGGCTCAAGCGGTAGCGCGCTCGCCTGGCATGCGTGCGGCCCGGGTTCGATCCTCAGCACCACGTACAGAGATGTTGTGTCCGCCGAAAAAAACTAAAATAAATAATTAAATGAATGAATAAATAAAAATAAAAATGAAGTTGTGTGAAAGCTAAGAGGGAAAATATATAATGAATAATATATTTTAAATTCTTACAAACTAAAAGAAAGAGCCAAAACTTATAATTTTAAATTTCTTAAAGAAAAATATACTTATCTGTTTGAGAAGGTTGGGCACAGATTAGGGATTTCTGTGGTGTGAACTATAATTTACAAAACCTTAGCTTTGCTTCCAGAAAGGATAGCATACTCTTGGATTCTGTTCTTTTATATTAATTCAGAAAAAAAAACCAAAAAACTGTGCTGCCCACTTCCCTCTCCCCTGTCCTTACTCTTTGGTACTGGGAATTGAACCCAGGACGTTTGCCACTAAGCTCCATCCCCAGCCCTTTTTATTTTTATTTTTTTTAATTTGGAGACAGGGTCTCACTGAGTTGCTTAGGGACTCACTAAGTTGCTGAGGCTGGCTTTGAACTTGTGATCCTCCTGCCTCAGTCTCTCAAGTTGCTGGGATTATAAGCCTGTGCCACTGCACCAGCCTATTTTTCTGTTACACAGTGGAATACTTTTAAAGGGCAGACAGTACAATGAAAGACCTGGAATCATGGGGGTGATTTGAAGGGACTAAAAATTATTAGAGAAGAAAAGCCAGAAAGGACATACCAGCTTTCCTCAGCTATTTAAGGAGGCCATATTTGTTTCACATTTATAGCTCCAGAGGGCAAATCAAGACTAATAACTGAAGATTACAGGTAGAATAACATAGGCTCAAGGCAGGGAACTGCCCTAAAATTGCACAGGGTTACTTTGTAAGGTAGTAAACTCCATGCCATTAGCTACATTCAAACACAGGTAGGTGACCTACCTGCCAGCTGTTTCAGAATAAGTCTCTGCATTAAGCAGATGGTTAGACTAGATGTTTCCTCCTTCTCCTTCCAACCCTGAGATCCTATTATTCTATAGTTCTCTGGCCTGACTGGAGAGCCAGGGTAAGCATGGGTTCCAAAGGTAATATTTCTCTAACTCTGGTACCCCCTTCAGCCTCTAGCAGCCATGATGGAGGAAGAGCCAGAGTCTGCCAGGCCAGAAGAAGGCAAACCCCAGGATGGTAAGTGTTAACCACCTCTATCTACAGAAATGGGGTAAGTTTATGTGTGGGGTTCATTTATGTGTATCACAGAGAGTGGAGAGGCAAGGGGTGGACCAGGCTTAAAAAAAAAAAAAATAGAGGTTGCCTTTCAACACAAGGGAAAGAAAATGAGGCCTATACTCCAGGAGGCAAAAACATTTGTGTTTCCCATCCCAGGTAACCCTGAAGGGAACAAGAAGGCTGAGAAAACACCTGATGACAAAGTGAGAATCCTTTCTCCCTGTAAAGATCCCAGTCCTCTCCCCAGCCCAGGTCTGATACCATGCATGGCCTCAGCAGAAGTTCCCATCACCCTTTTCCTTGCTTTGCCACATCCAGTCCACACACACACACACACACACACACACACACACACACAAACACACTAAGCTCAAGACTTAGGAGTTGAAATGTAATATGTCTGGAGAATGCTCCTCAATGTGGGGTAGAGGAGCCCTCAAACGCATTACCCCCACCCCCTTTCATCCCCAGCACAAGCAGCCTGGCTTCCAGCAGTCTCATTACTTTGTGGCTCTCTATCGGTTCAAAGCCCTGGAAAAGGACGATCTGGATTTTCCGTGAGAGGCTTTCAGAGGAGAGGGTGGGGAGTACTGGGGAATGAAGAAGGGAGAGCTTGACTCCCTATGGGAAATGAAAAGGGGGAACCTCAAGCTTGGATCCTATTTGGGCTGGACTTTTCGGGGCACACCCAGGGAGTGGTATATGAGGCAGGCGACTAAATCTCAAAGGCCTCTTCCTTCCTCTCCCAGGCCCGGAGAGAAGATCACAGTCATTGATGACTCCAATGAGGAGTGGTGGCGAGTAAGAGAAATGGCAAGGGCTAGGGGTGGGGTATGGTTAAATATAAAACCTAAAGTGAGAGATTGAATCTCCCCATTGTCTTCCTTAGGGGAAAATCGGGGAGAAGGTTGGATTTTTCCCTCCAAACTTCATCATTCGAGTTCGGGCTGGAGAACGCGTGCACCGTGTAACAAGATCTTTCGTGGGGAACCGCGAGATAGGGCAGATCACTCTCAAGAAGGACCAGGTATCTCTGGTGCCCCAACCGAATCCCAAGCCTGAATGCTCCTCAGCAGGTCACACTCCTTGGAGATCATAACCCATTAATGAGACTAAGACGAGTTTCTGTACCCCAAGATCCGCTGCTCTCATCTTCTGCCTTTTCCTTCAATTCCTCTCTTAGTCTCTAATACTTTAATTTTCTAGATCGTGGTGCAGAAAGGAGACGAAGCCGGCGGCTATGTCAAGGTCTACACCGGTCGCAAGGTGGGGCTGTTTCCCACCGACTTCCTAGAGGAGATTTAGGCGTGAGGGCGCCTGCAGTCGGGAGACACCCATCCCCATTCTGGGCGGGCCCAGTGGAGGTTGGGGAGAAAAGAGACAAAAGCAACTGGACTACTGGGGGCGTGGGGTTTAGGAAGGCTCTGGGAAGGGACTGGTTCCTGCCTCCCTCCCCACCCCTGGCCTAGGGCCTCGGATACCTGGTACTCGAGCAGCCCGCAACTTCTCCGCCCATCTTGAGAGAGAAGACATCTCCACTAAGGAGGCGTCCGGGGGTATTGCGGGTACGAACTTATTTGAATGCTGCAAATTTATTAAAGTTTTGACAAGCCGAGCACTGTAATGTGCGCTTGTAATCCCAACAAATCGCGAGGCTGAGGCAGAAGGATCCTAAATTCGAGCGCAGCCTCAGCAATTTTGTGAGACCCTGTCTCAAAAAACAAACAATAATAATAATATTTTAAAAACTGGGGATGTAGCTCATTGGTAAAATGCTCGAGGGCTTAATCCGCGGTACCAAATAAAGTTTTGACAAAAGTTAGAAAAGTTCGTTCTTTGGGGACGAGAAGGCCTGCAATGAAGTGGGAATCCTCTCCAGCTGTCCCCAGTCTCTCCCATAAGGTATCAAACTTATCTGGGCTGAGACTGATGGTAGGCAGGGGGATAGGTGAATCGTCAGGCGAGGCCTCTTTTGGCAATGAAGAGGGGGCAGCTGGACTGGAGTCGTCATCCCAGAGCCCCTACTGCTGGAAGCAGGATTGCGTGTCAGGATAGGTATCCCAGCTCTTGATGGTTTAGCCGCGGGCGGCCCTTTGCATTTTAGAAACTGGCTCAGCGCCGAGTTAGGCCACCAGGGGGCGATGCAAGATCTCGGTTGGAGAGAGAAGGATGGGGACAGGCTGTAGCGGGTGGACAAGGGTAGAAAACGAGAGACACCAAGCCTGAGACCCTAGGCCTGGAGGGGGTGGGGTGCGTGCCGTCTCCATGGCAACACTTCCTCAAGTCCTCCGGGAACCCAGTTAGCGAGGCCGGGGGGCCTAACCCCTCCCTCGCGGCCCCTGCCCTAGTCCTTTCCGACAGGTACTGAGTGTGAGGACTCGGGGCAGACAGCTAACTGGCTTTCGCCGAGACCCCCCCTGCGGCGCGCTGTATGCAAATGTTATTATTTGCATATGCAAATATGCAAATACGCCGGCCCTGGTCAGGGAGGCAGGTGGCGAGGAGCGGGAAGGTGCGGGGAAGAGAGCAGAAGGAGACGAGGAGATTGGGGACCTGGGAACCGACCAGTGAGAGGCAGCCTTGGGTGGTCGCTGGAGTGAGGCAGGCTGAGGGTCTCGGGCTTGATGGCCGGTGGGGGAGGGTCAGCCTGGCCAGCCAGAAGCTCCTCTTCTCGTCAGCCCGTTGTCTGCCAGGACTGAGGTTGGCACCGCCTAGCAAGGTTGGCAGCGGGAGCCCGGGCACCATCTGCTGCTGGCGGAGGGAGGGCAGAGGCTCAGCTGGGCTGGGGAAGTGGAGGGCCCGGGACGGGCGTTCTCCCCCTCCCCGCCTCTTCCTTACAGAAGGCTGAAGTGATGGGGGTAGGGAAACAGGCAAGACTGGATTCAGTTTCTTGTTTCCTTTGCCCTTGACTGTCCCGGATGCGGGGGTAGGGGGCAGGGTCATTCAGGAAGACTCAGGCAGCACCCGTTTTAATCACGCATGGGTTAGGTTAGGGACAGGTCACAGGCACACGCACACACCACAATCACAAGTCAACCTTTTACTCCCATCCCTCCTTGGGATCCGCCTATCATAAGTGTGTGAAGGAGAGACAGCAGCGGGGCTCTGATCACCTCTATTCATCAAGAGGTCTGAGGGGCTCAAAACCGGAGGCCCTCTCTCCTGGGACCACACACACACACACACACACACACACACACACACACCACACACACACAGCTGAAGCAAAACCAATTTACTGGCTCATTGGGCGGCGATGCTGGTGTGGGGGTGTCGAGGAGCAGGGAGAGCGGCTGTTCTCCCCTTACACTCGGGGGGCGCCCCCCTCCTTCGCCTTACCGAGCCGGCAGCTGTCCCTAATTAGAGCGGTGGTTTAATTGGATTTATCAGCAGTTAATAGGAAATTAAGCAAAGGGCCCGAGAGAAGGGGGGCGGGAGGAGCCAGGAAACAGACTGTGCTGAGCTGGAAGGAGGGGTATTGGGGTGCCAGGGGTGGGGAGAGAAGTCATAGTATCACAACTGAGCCCCAAGATCACTCCCTTCTTCTGCTCAGTAAGCTCTAGGCCTATTGAGCCCCGGCCCGAGGGCCGAGGGCCGCGAGCAAGTCCCAGGAGGGGGTGTCAGGCAAGACAGCAACCCTGTTTGAGCCCCCAGCGGCCTCCCATTCCCACAGCAGCCGCCTGGGTGATGGATGATGCTGCCTCAGGCTGCAAAGGTCATAAGTCTGGGCCAAGGAGCAGACTGAATTGAAAATAGATCAGAGAAAGGGCCAGGGTACTAGGGTCCAAGACTCAACTGCGTCCTACCCCTCTCTACTGCCCAGTCTTGAAGTCAGAAGATTGGGCAGCAAGGATGTCAAGGTTGGGTAGAGAGGTGGGACTCTCACTTTGAAGCCCTCTTAGGGGATCCTGGGAATCTCCCAGTGCAGCTGCCACTGTCCTCCAGTGGTCCTACCCCACCTTCCTCACCTGCACCCTGCCAACTGCATGAGTCAGGGCAGCAACCCACTGGGACTGCTTGCAGTGGATGTCCAAGGACCACACCACCCTCTCTGAGGACCAGGGAAGGAAGCTTGCAGGCTGCCAAGAGGGAGCTACAGGCCTCTGAGTCCACAGCCCCAGGTGCCTCCTGTCAGCACTATCTCATTACACTGCTGGGCTAACAAGGTCTGCTCTGGGGGCCCTGGCGACCTCTGAGCCACACTTCACCCAGAGGAGGACAGATGGCAGCTCCTGAATATGTGTAGGTTTGAGTCTCTTTTCTGTGCCCATGACAATTATGAGCACCGGTACTCCTAGTGTGTGTTGTCTGTGCCCTGGGTGTGTGAGCCCCAGATTTATGTTCATTTATGGGCTCTGATTTTGTGTCTGTCCCTGAAAGTAGGTATTGTTGGGTTTGCCTATTTCCCACTCCCAAGCTCATCTCTGATTTCCAAGCCCCAGGGTGTCTAGGTGTCTGGATGTTGTTATGTGCTTTGGTGTGTCTGTGTTTTTGCGCTCTTCATGCCTGGGTGTGCCCCAGCTGCGTGCAAGCATCTCCTTGTGTCTCTGCCTTCAGGCCTGTATGTGTGAAAATCAGAAAGAGCCACTGGTGAGTGTGTGTTGCTCCAGCATCTCCTCCTGCAGGTGTGTGACAGTGAGTGGGCGTGTGCTGGGTGTGAGCCGCGCGGCGGCGGTATATATCCGAATTACAGTGTGATGCGCGCGTGTATGTGAATATGCGCACGCGCGCGTGACTGAGTGAGTCTCCCGCCCCCGCTCCTTCCTCTCCCTATTTCTATTCCTCTCTCCTCTCCCGACCGGCTCGGCTCCGCCGTCCGCATCATCTCCATCCATTATTGAAGAAACAGCCGCGTCCGCTCCAATCACATCAACACCCCAGCCCCCTCCCCGTTCCGCTCGCCTGGTGGCCCCTCTGGGTGCTGTGGAGGGGGAAAGCCCAGACGCAACGGGGGCGCCGGGCGGGAGCGGATCATGACCCTGTGCTCCAAGCTGAGCCAAACACCGGGACGCCGGGGTCCCTGGCGGAGAGCGCTTTGCATAAACAGATGGCACCGGCGTCTTTGTCTCATTCTCTTGCTCACTCGCCGCGCAGCTCCGGGCTCCGCTTCTGTCTGACTGATGCAATCATGATCATCTTGGAGCCTCGGGACCCCGCGCCTTTAATAGTGGCACAGAGGGTCAGTGGGCCCGGGGCTCCCGAGCAGATGTTGGGCACTGTTTCCCTTCCGGGCGCCCTCTCCACATCCCACAGCTGCAGCAGGAAGATCGAGGCCACTCCGAGGTGATGGGCATGTGGAGGTGACCAGGGAGGGAGACCCTGAGCAGTGTACTGAGGTGTCTCCAGGCTGTCCCATTGGACTGCTGCCGCCTCACAGGAGCAGCAAGCCAGAGAATAGGAATAGAGGTGGAGAATAGAGAGAAGGGGGAAAACAGAGAGAGACAGAGCAAGGCGTTTGTAAAGATAGACACAGGGAGATAGAGAAATGTAGAGGAAAGGAAAGACACACAAGAAAGAGAAACACGCAGAAGGACAAAGCCAGGTAAAGGGATAGCAGCAGGGAGACATACACAACCAGAATATAAGAAACAGAGAGACACAGACACATAGAGACACACTCAGAGACAGAGGTAGTCAGACAAATGACTCAAAGAAGAAAGAAGGGCAGAGGCAGGCCAAGTCAGAGTGTGAGTTTCGGGACCTATAGCCCCAGAGTGGGCGTCCGAGTCCGGCATGGTGAGAGGAACCAGCCTGAAGCTGAGATACTGCTTGCAGCAATCTTCCTCAGCAATCCTCCAAGACCCTTCTGCGGTCTGTGGCCCCACCTCACACCAGAAGAGTGAAGGCTGAGGGACCTACTGTCTTCGTGGCGGGCGTAGCGGGAGTGACCCGTGGGGAGTGAACCTATACGTTCGCAGGCTTAGACTTACCTGCCCGAAAACTGGGCATGTTAAGGGCCAGCACTTCCTAACCTGAGAGCCGAAGGCCTCTCCCCGGAGTTTGGGAGCCGCTCCTCCTCCAGGGGGCGCTCGCGACCACCATCCCGGGAACAGGGTAGCCCCCGCGAGCCTAACTGTGTTTGACGCGTTGCGCTGCCAGCTAGAAGATTTGGGTCCTAGTGGAATTTAGTGTTCACTCTGGTCCGGACCTGACCCCAGGACGCGCCTAACTCATGGCTAATGTCTCTGGCGGTCCATCACCTTGGTGGGCCAGCGCAGCCTTCCAGAGTCATTGTGGTGAGAAAGTGCAGGAAAGGGGGCGGGTAGGGAGAGAAAGAGGGAGGAAGGTGGGGGAAGAAAACCCAGAAGTTCTGTGTTCCAGCTCAGCCCCAGAGATCATGGTCCAGGGATGTGAACCAAAAAAGAATAGGCTCGCAGAAACTAGGACCACAAGCAGGTAAAAAGCCAAGGAGTCAAGGAAAGCCAATATTGGAGGGTCAGAAAGCCGGCTGAAGCCCAAGGCAGGATAAACAGTAGCAGGTGCAGCAAAGAAGCGGGACCGAAGGTCTGTGTCACCAGAACTCAGAAGAAACGGCGCAGGGAGGAAAATGAGGGCCTCAGAGCAAAGGAGCCCGGGCAAGAGCCAAGGATCCCTCCTGGTGTTCTGACTCCTCAGCTGTGCCTCAGAATGCCAGATGTGCAGCCCAGCTGGGCAGCCACTCTAGCTAGAGCTCCGAGATTTTTAGCCCCAGAGACCAGCGGGCTGAGGGGCTCGGTGTGACAGGACACCTCCTCCCTGGCCCAGCCCTGGAGGTGCGGGCGCTCAGGGAGGGTTCTGCGCTGCTGGAGGCTCTGACATTCCCGTCAGCACCCTCAACACACACATCGCAGCGAGTCTCTGTCTCTTTGTTCTCGCCATGTCTCTGACACTTTATCTCATTATCCGCCGGAGGGAGGCGGAGAGCCCCGGACCCCGCAGCCTAATTACAGCTGCGCTTGTCAGCCCAGGGCGGGGGAGGTATCAGTGTGAGATAAAGGGAGGGGGTCTTCAGGAACAGCCTTCTCCTTTTCAGTACCCCTGAGGGGCCCAGCGACGGGTACACAGCTCGCCCCTGCCCGTGCAGCCATAGGGCGGGTACCAGAGAATAGAAGTGGGAGACCTCGGCAAGATCCCAGCCGCAGAGGCGGGAGCTGATGGTTGAGGTTAGCGTGGGAGTGGGAAAAAGCGGATGAAGCGGACTCCTGCTTCCCCAACACTTCCAAATCCCCAAAAAACGGGGGTTGGAGCCTTTCCATCCTGGCAGCATAGCATACACCTGAATTGGCTGAATAAGAGGCAATCTCTGCAGTTCTGTCTCTGTGCCTTTTTCTTTTTCCTACTTCATCTTTTCTATCTTTGCTGGCTTCCTCACTCCATTCTCTTCTTGTCCTACAGCCAGAGACAGAGGTGGAGGATAGCCTCTTTGGTGGTGGTAGTGGGGCTCCACCTTCACTTCTACCCCAGGTTGCCAAGGCAGTCAAGTCTCTCAGACTCCCAAACTGCCACAACTGACCTTCTATCCTGACTCAGATACACCTGACTTATCCAGCCTCCAAGTATTATTCCAGGGCAACCACAACCTGGAGAAACTGCTCACAAGAGGGGCTGGGCAACTCTAGTGAGGCCATCCATCCCCCTCCTTCTCCCACTACTCTGATATAGGGCAGAACCAGGATCATCAGTAACTGGTAGCTCCTGGGTGGCTCTAGGGGTGAGGGGTGTCAGGAAAGCTCTGCAGATGCCCTCACTGGTCCCTTGTCCCTCTGGTCCCACCTGTGAATACTTCACACGTGCTTGTTGCAGGTCTGTCAGTTTGTCCCACTTTTGTATCACCCTTCAGTCAGTCTCTTGGTGCCTGTGGGGCCCCTCTCTGAGAGACCTAAAGCCCCAAGTATGATAGTGTCCCATGGGCCAGGGTGCAGGCACATAGAGGAGAGAGTTGGGGAGCAGATACTTTCTGACTTCCCAACAATTCCCATGTCTGCTTTGGGATTGCCGGGCTTAAGCGAGCTGGGTGGGGTTTGGTGTCGGAAAACGCCAGCGGGCTGGGCTAGGCTGACCCCTCCCTGGTGGGGGGCGGACCCCAGGAGAAGAAATAAAGAGCCACAGAAGAGCACCAGGCACTGGAAAGGCGCTATGGCAGGAACCAGTCTAGGGGCCCGCTTCTACCGGCAGATCAAAAGACATCCGGGGGTGAGTTCAGTCCTCAGAATTTGGGATTCTAACTCCTAACTCTCATGCTGTCCTACCCCGAAAGTCCTCCAGAACCCTGCCTCCTGCCCAGTTCCCCCAGTGCTCCAAATCTTCCCTTGGAGACACCCCTCCTCAATCTATCCCTGCAATATACCTCCATGCCTGGAAATTACCTCAGTCAGTTTGGCTGAGGGGTAAGGAAGACCACAGAACCAGACCTTGGGTGGTTTGGCAGACAGAAAAATTTAACTTGTAAAGTTAATGGGAACTATGAGGAGGGGGTTGACCCTGAAAGTGCCCTATGTTTTCTTTGCAGCTCATCCCAATGATCGGTTTCATTGGCCTGGGCATGGGCAGCGCTGCACTCTACTTACTGAGACTGGCCCTACGCAGCCCGGACGTATGGTAAAGGCTGGGCTTGGGACTGCAAGCAAGGGTCCTGGGTGTGGCAAGGTAGAGTGGGAAGGCTTGGACCTTTCTGGAACAATGAGAATCGGTAGCCCTAGCAAGAATCCTAAGGCATCTGGTATCTTGGGGCTGGAACCCTGACTTGGGAGACCCCTGTCTTCCTTCTATCCCACCTGACTGCTAGACTTGCTAGTTTGGAGCCAGCTGAACCTGTGTGGCTCCAAGGCCCTGTTGCCATGGCAACGCTGCTCTGCCGTCACTGCGGGCTTTTGGGTACCTCTGTGTCCTTGCAGGTAGACTGGGGGTATGGCTGGGTGAGCTACTGGGGGTGTCAGTGGAGCTGGGGAGGTGCTAAGATTTAACACCCTGCTGGGAAGCAGCAAAGATTGATTGCTTTCATAAGAAAAAGATGCACCTACCCACTGCACTGTCCAAATTCAAGGACTGAGACCCCTGCCCCTTGATATCTGCCCAATTCCCAAGACTCTGCTCTGAGAGGTTAACCTAGAGTAGCAGGAAGCAAGGGGTAGGGAGTCCCTGGACTGGGTTATCTTGTCACCAAGCCTCACTCTGACAATGGTGACAAGCTTTTTGTCTCACTTGTCAGCACCCACTAACATGCTCCTTCCCATCAGTCTCTAGGAAATGGGACCCCAAGGTAGGAGACACAGAGGGGGTTCTAGGATGGGGTCAGAGCCCTAGCTGGAACCCAGTCCCAGATTAGAGACTCTAACACTCCCCTCTCTTCCCTAGCTGGGACCGGAAGAACAACCCAGAACCCTGGAACCGTTTGAGCCCCAATGACCAATACAAGGTACTTCCAGGTGACTCTAGGGCTGCTTGCCCATCACTCATCTCCTAGTGCTTCCCTTATGGGGCAAAATGGGTCTATCAGGACAACTCTCCTTTCCCTCTCCTCTTAGTTCCTTGCGGTTTCCACTGACTATAAGAAGCTGAAGAAGGACCGGCCAGACTTCTAAACAGACTGGGCTCATGAGTTCGATGTAAACCACACACTCATTTCTTCCATTCCCTGGGGCATCAGTCTGGCCATTCTGTCAAGTTCCTGCTTATACAGGCTGGGTTCCCACGCAGAGAACAACTCCAACCCCCACCATCCTCCCTCACTCCCATCAGCGGAAGTGCCTCTGACCCTTGGATTGAGTCCCACATGGGGGAGGGGAGTCAGGGCGGCAAGCAGCAGCTGGGTCCAACCCAAAGGACCCAAGCCAGCCCCTCTGCTCTCCTACCCTGTACTTGCAGGGTGTGGTGCAAGCTACGTGTTAAGCGTGGCCTACGTGAGCCAACAGCAAGCAGGGACCTGAGTGCCAAGAGACGTGGCAGGCCCCATGTTAACCAGGCTCTGAGTGCCTGCCTAGGGGCGGTGCTGCTCAGGCTCGACTGGGCTCGTCGCCTATGCCCAGCCTACTTAGGCTGGGGCACCCATGCCATGTTACATGCTCCTCCCTTGCCCAAGCCTGCTGCCTCCCACACCAATAGCACCCCCTCCCTGTACGCACCTGGCCTTCCCCCAGCAGCTTCCCACTGCTCCTCTCCCCTCCCTTCCCTTGCTCCCTTCTGTCCCAGGGGATCAAACAGAAGCAGCCGTGGGCAAAATACAATTTCATTTAACAAATTGAATTTGCTGCGCCTGCTAATCACGTCTGGTGTCGGCTCTGATCAGAGACACAGAGGAGGTTGCAGCCTCCTGGGGCCTTGTGGTGGTGGTGGTGGTAGGGAAGGGAGGAACACACTTTGAAGGAGTCAAATCATCTGCTGGCCCAGGGGACCCCTCCCACAGTAATAGAAACTCCTGGGCAGGTGAGCATTTTATTAGATTAAAAAAAAGGAAGTGTGCCACCCACCCCTTCCTCTGGCTCAGCTGGGTAACTCTCCCACCTCAAGAAAGAGCAAGAGTCTATATAATACTGATAATGGCAGAGGATTAGGGCAGAAAGCTGGAGGTAGAGTGGGGCTCCTTCTAAATCTAGTTACAAAAAAGAAACCTCAGCTACAAATTCTGGCAAGGAGACTATACCTCCTCCACCAAAAAACAGAATGGTAAGTAATAGTATGCCTTCCACTGGCCCAGGTGAGGCAGGCGGGGGACAGGGGTAGTAATTTCCAGTCTGTGGGCCTTGATTCCCAGGTGTTTTCAGCGTTCATCAAAACCAGGCATAGGGAAGGCCCTGGCAAATTGCTCCACCCTTTGCCTGAGGTTGGCCAGGTGCTGGCTTGTTTCTGGGTCCTTGAGCAGGAAGGATTTGAAATCCTGGAGCTTGGCTAGAGTGGTGAGGGGAAAAAAAAAAAAAGGTTAGCATTGTATGGAAGGCAGTGAGATCAGCTGGGGGAGGGAGTACAGTGAGGTAAAGAGGCTGGCTAGGGGGTTCTTTCTTTTGTCTGCTTACCAGTCTTGCTCTTCACCTTCAAACCGATGTTGACTCCTTCATCAATGAAGTCCACAACTCTCCGGAAGTCATCCTCACGGAACTGCCGAGAAGTCAAGGCTGGGGCCCCTGGAGAGGCAGGAAAGAGGATTAGTATAGCTAAGGTCACCTGTTGTGGGTGTCCTTCCCTCCCTGAGACCCAGATCTCACCAAGCCGCAGGCCCCCGGGGGTGATGGCACTTCGGTCTCCAGGACATGTGTTCTTGTTGGCAGTGATGGACACAAGCTCTAGCACCCGCTCAGCCCGAGCCCCATCCAGGCCTTTTGGCCGCAGATCTACCAGCACCAGGTGGTTGTCAGTGCCACCTGAGGGAGTTAATAATCAGGGAGTGGTGAGTCTGGTGCACCTGCTTGAGGCTATAAAAGCCCTCACCCAGGCCCCTGGCTCACCAGACACCAGTGAGTAGCCTCGCTCTAGCAGGGCATCAGCCATGGCCCGAGCATTCTTCAAAACCTGTAGGGAGTACTCCCGGAACATGGGGGTACAAGCCTGGGAATGAGACGGTAGCACCTGTGACTCCAGGCCCCTGGACCCAAGTCCTACTTCTTCTGCCTCTTCACATAGCATGGCTCCAGGACCCCAGCTTTGATACCTCCCGTCCTGGCAGTTCCCTTCCATCAGCTTCAACTTTAGTTATCAGAAGCATTTACGTCTTGGGACCAATGTCCCCCCCACCCCCATAGGGCAGGCTCCCCAACCTGTTTTAGGGCCACTGCTACTGCAGCAATGGCATGATTGTGTGGGCCGCCCTGCAAGGATGGGAACACAGCAAAGTTGATTCGGTCCTCAAATGTGTAAGGTATCTCCCTGCCAGTCTTGGGGTCCACAGACTGTACCCCTTTCCGATAGAAGATGAGTCCTGACCTGTGTAGAAGGTGAGTGGTTAGAATCTAAGCTAAAAATAAAAGATAAGGATTGAGGAGATCAGAGGAAGTTGGCTGGCTTGGGCTGTCGAGGCCTCTCTTTATACAGTGGATTCCAGTGGTGGAGGGAATCAGCCCCTCACTCCCACTCACAAATCCCCTGCCAAGGAATGGCCATCAAAAACAAGAAAAGGAGAACCATCACAGACTAAACGGAAGTCTTCCGGGGTATAGGTAGGAATGAATTCTCAGATCCAGCCTAGAGCAGGGTGTGATGGCAGGAAAAGGCAAGGCATGATCTCAGGGAACCTGACCTGGCCCCTCGAAGAGTCTTGTGAGTGGTGGTGGTGACAATGTCCGCATGCTTGAAAGGTGAGGGGATCACCTTGGCAGCCACCAGGCCACTGATGTGGGCCATGTCTGCCAACAGGTGTGCCTTGACTTCATCACACACCTGGACAGATACAGAGATAAGCCTCAGCCTGGGGAAGGCCCAAACAGGCATACCCAATGCTATCCCCCAATCTCTCCACCAAACCCTGAGACAGTGCCAGTACTCCAGCCCCCCACCAACCTCTCTCATGCGGGCATAGTCAATGAGGCGAGCATAGGCACTGGTACCAGCTATGATGAGCCGTGGTCGGAAAAGTCGAGCAGTCATTGCCAACTGGTCATAGTCAATGAGTCCGGTTTGGGGCTGGACAGACAGATAAACAGCTAAAGGCCTGAGATGGCAATAGTGCTTGTCCCTCCTTAACCCTGAGGGCTGCCCAGAGCTCTAGCCCCTCCCACTGCCCAGCAGAACCAGGGCCTGGGCAACTACCTCCTACACCCTAGAGCACTCACATTGAGTTTATAGGGCATAGACTCAAAGAAGATAGATGTGGCAGAGATCCGCTTGACGTCGGACATGTAGCCATGGGTGAGACTAGGAAGTGAGATGAAATAAGGAGGTCTCAGAGTGTAAAAACTCAACTTCCTCACTCCCTTCCTACCCATCTTCAATGTCTGTCCCGAGCTTGCTGCATCTCATTTCTCTGTCCACTCTGTGGTGGACACTGATGTGACTGCGATCTTATCTTCCTCATCCACTGTAACATGCAGGACAGGGAGAGGTATGTCTCATACATATGGAACACAGTGGGTATGCAATAACTCCTTTGCCACATTAGTACTGTCTACAGCCCAGCATCTGCCCCATCCATACTCACTGGCCCCCATCAGGCAGGTCCAACCCCATGAGTCGGTCATGCGGCTGCAGAAGGGCGGTGTAGGCAGCCAGATTGGCTGGGGACCCTGAGTAGGGCTGGACATTGACTCCCCACTGAGCAGGATCCAGGTCAAAGGCTTCCAAGGCCCGGCGCTGGCACAGCCGCTCAATTTGATCCACTACCTCTGCTCCCCCATAATATCTGCCATGAAGAGAGGTACATAAGGGCACAGAGAAAGGACTCTAGACCAGCAGCAAAGGACTGGGAAGGCCACTGCTCCATAAATACTGGAGGGTACAGGAAGGTTCCACCACTGGGAGCACCATCCCTGATGTTGCCCTCCAGCCCTCTGGTGCCTAGCCCTCACCTCTTGCCAGGATAACCCTCCGAGTACTTGTTGTTCAGACAGGACCCCAGGGCCTCCAGCGCAGCTCGGCTGCAGAAGTTCTGGGGTGATGGGGGGGCAATGTCAGAAGGTATTGAGTCCCTTCCCCTGGACCCCCATAGCCCCGCCCTGCCAGAGCCTGCAGGCTGCAGGGGGGAGAGTCAGGCTGTACAAAAAGCTGTTAATTCTGGGTTCTTTGCCAAGCATGGGGCAGGGCCAGAAGGAGCATTCTCAGAAACTCTGCTGCCATGATGTTGTTCCCAGTAAGGTCACCTGTCCACTCAAATTTGTGTTTCCAGGCTCCTCTTTCCTCTTGGGAGGCAGAGAGGGAATAGTTGAAGCTGTAGGGACTCTGGAAGGTTCTGGAAACTTCCTAATGCCCAAAAATCCATAAACTGGCCTTGCTTTTGCTTCAGAGGAGAATAAAGAGAGGGAAATAAAGCCCAGCAGAAAGGCCCTGAGTCTGACAAGGAAATTTGAAGAAATATTGGCAAGATAGCTTGTTATTACCTATACCCACCCCCTTACCCTGTCTCCCCAGCTCCCACCTCTGAGGCAATGAGCTCCAGGCCACGACACTGCCTGTCCTTCTCCTTCTGTAGTAGTTCCCACATCTCAGGGTCACTGTCTGACAGACTCTCCTGGCCTGTCCAACCTGTGGTTGCTTCTCCAGTCTGAGTCTGGGCCACCTTGCTGTGCTGAGCTCGAGTAGCCATCCTGACCAGTTGGTCACATCTCTGCCGAGGCTAGGGGCAGGAAAAGCTATGGTCAAATAAAAATTGTGGAGACAAATAGTCTCCCAAACACCCCCAGCCATGCTTATACAGCCCTCTGGCTCTGTACCAGGCAGCCAGTTGTCCAGCCAGACTGTTCCAGTTCTTTCCACCCCCATCTCCACTTTTAAAAGCCAGTTCTAGATCCAAGGTTGAGATCAATGTCCAGAGGGGTAATTCTGATTCGTTCCACTCACCTCACCTCAGACTCTCTCTCCACACCTCAACCCATGAGCCACTCTGCAAAGCCACAGGGCAAAGCTTATTCTCCAGAAGCCCCTGTCTCCCAAATTCAGGAGCGAGCCAGAGATTCCAGAACCTCCCCACCCATAGGAACAAAGGGGCCTTTCTTCAGGGCCTCCACAAACTGATACCCCAGTCAGGAGAAGAGACCAAACTGACAGGGGTTAAGGCCACAGGCTCTAAAGGTGGTTTCCAGAGCAAAGGAGGTGGGAGGGCAGACCTGAAGCAGTCCCTGGGAAAGAGGTATTGGGGGGTGGAAGGATGTATGGGGAAGGGGTGGATCCGCAGGGAGGCCCAACCCATATCCTGTCCCCATGTCACCGTCGTACCCC